ATATATATATATATATATATATATATATATATATTCAGAAACAGATGGTCCAGATAGACAAAAATTATTTCCTGCTCAGAGCACTTTACTGTCTTCCCACTTGACTCCAAGTCATATGTCTAGAATCCAGAGAATATAGGCCAATATAATATTTCACAACTGGTTGTCTCTGGTGATAAGTAAAAGTACTCAGAAGGATTCCAAAGATGAGGCTGGATGGCATAAAGACTTCATATGGGCAAACACTATCACAAACCCTTCACAAGCCCATATCTTCTGGTGGTACTTTTGCTGAGTTGAGATCTATGGCACCAAACTGTTACCATGTCTGAGAATAAGTGGGACTGTGGGTTAGGATCACGGATCTGGCTATGCAGTGTGCAATGGTCTTATTATACTTCCTTTAGTATTGGCATCTTATTTTATCTTCCTTGGTTCTGCTTTGAAAAACAATTCCAGTAAGTTCTTCTTTGTAAAGATTTGCTTTGTTTAAGAGCTAGAAACTTGCTAGGGGGAATGGCAAGTGCCTCTAATCCCAGCTATTCAGGAGGCTGAGGCAGGAGAATAAGAAGTTCAAGGAGAGCCTGGGCAGTTTAGTGAGAATCTGTCTCAAAATAAAATTTAAAGGGGCTGGGGATATAGCTCAACTGGTAGAGTGCTTGCCTAACATGCACAAAGCTCTGGGTTCAATCCCCAGTCTCACATAAAAGAAAAAATAATAATAATAAAAGGTATCTATTTAAAAAAATAAAATAAAATTTAAAAAGAGCCAGGGATATAGCTCAGATGGAGTGCTTGCCTGGCAAACAAGAGTACAATTCTCAGTACTGGGGGCGGGGTAAGGAGGCCAAAAACTTAACATTTCGATCCTATAGATTGTACTAATGAAAGAATAGTTGGAATGATTTTTTTTAAACAAATTATTGCATCTGTCTCAGGTGCACCTAAAGCAATTTCCAATTATATTTTATAAATAGAATCCATTTCTGAAATGCAATTTCCTCTGTAGTGGAATCCAAAAGATGTCAACAGGAGCCTGGTAAGATTCCCCTGCAGGATCGTGTTTATTCATTCAATAAATGCCTATTGAGTATTGGTCATATGCTGAGCACTGAGCTAAGTGCTTAAGGAAACAGTGGCAAATAAACAAGACACAGTCTCTGACCTTATGAGTCTCGTGATTTACCAAAATAGACATTAAACAATAATTGCAGAATTGCTTGTTTCATTGCAGTTGGGGAAAATGGCATGAGGCAGAAAGGAGCACGAGGTGTTGAAAGATTGCATAGTAGGGGAGATCTAAGGCAGTCCAGAAGAGCTGGAGAGACTCTGATGAGGAAATTAGTTAACTGGCCCAGGATGAGGGAACAATCCAGGCAGAGGAAACCCACTAACAATAAAAAATCAAGTGAAACCAATAAAGAAAAATATGAGGAGTTTTTACTCTGTGTAAGAATCAAGATCATTCAGCCTTGGATCAGCAATGGACTGCCAGTTGTCCTTTCTCTGGATTTAATAAAATCACTTATCCAAGAATCACAATATACATCAGTCTTGGAGGTGCTGCAGACAGTGATGTACTTAGAGGGGAAATTCTTAGAATGATAATACCAACTCCAGATTGAACTGCAGATGGTTCGAGTTTATTTTACTCAAATGCCTGACATTATTCTTCTAAATTTAACTGTGAATTGTAGGTATTTCCTTAAGAGTAATATAATGTGGACATTGCTATTTTGTACTTCCAAGATCAAGAAAACAAACAAAAAAAATAGTGGTCCAAATGAACCACTAGGGGTCGCTTCTGACACTAGTGCAGGATCAGAGAGTAGGCTTCAAAACTGCTCTGCCTACATTACAGAATCCTGTGTCAAAATGAATTGTTTCTTTTAATATCTTGTGAAATTGTGTAATAATACATATCAGAACACTTGGAGAATGCAAATAACTCATCTATTATCCTGCCAGGTAATTAATTTCCTCCCCCACATTTGCTTTCCTGTCGCCATTGTGGCCCTTCAACTCTGAGTTCCCTGTCCCTCTTCTTCCTCTGGATGGAATGACTGACCCAGCTCCTACCTGGGGCAGCCCCTCCTGCTTTCCTCACATCCCAGTCAAAAGCATAGCACAGCCAATCTCCCTTGCCTCTCTGAAAACCAAATGTTTCTCTCTGATGGTGCTCATCCTCCCCAAACATGCTATTTCTCCATTCTTGGGAAGGTTTTTTTGGTTTTTTTTTTTTTTTTTTTTTTTTTTTTTTT